ATTTTTTTTTTTTTTTTAACTTCTTGCACCACTCCTATTTCCTACAAGGTCCTCTTAGAATTGCTTTGGTCTCGGGACCAGCAGTTAGCATAATGGCTATGTTGCTGGACTCTCATGTTGACCACAGTTCGAGTCCCGGACCCAGTGGCTTAAGCTCACGCCGGGTGCATGTGCGTGCCTTAAACTCACGCCGGGTGCATGTGCATGCGTGCCCAAGATCCCGAGAGGAGAATGGAGGAGAAGGGATTGTGGCATGGCCATCCCCCCTGGAGGGTGATTTCTCACTTTCTGTCTCTCTGTCTCTCTGTCTTTCTGGCGAGCGCAAGTGCCCTATAGCAAAAATCTCTCAAAAAAAATTTATTTTTTTTATTGTTTTGGTCTCTGTCATTGATGCAAGGACTCTGCTCCAGGGTCAGAGCTGACAGAAACCTGAGTACACAGGTGAAGATACTGCATCCCAATGCAGAGTGGTGTGCTTGGTGTTTCAATGGTGTTTCAAGCGCCAGTGTCTTTCCTCTTTGCTTTTGGTTTGGTCAGACTTCCCCAAAATCTAGGAAACAAAGAATTTCTTGCCTGGATGGGAAAGGCCTTGCTGTTGATGTCTGGGACCAAGTGGGGGAGGAAGGGGGAGTCTCCACAACTAGCACCCCACATGGAGGGTGATATCTCCACCTTCAATCGATCTGGTGCTTCCAGGCCTGAGACCTATTCCTCTATCCCTAGCATCTAGTCTCTGCCTGCGTTTTAAAAGGGGCAACTGAAGGTTGGGGTTGAGAACGGACTCTTAGCTTCTGAAACATTCCACCAATTCTCATCATAGCCTCCATTTAGAAGAAGTAGCACCATCATTTCTAAGACTTTAGGAACTCAGTTGTGCATGTGGTTCATTTTCTGCTTTCCCTGCTGCTGACTTAGGATTCAGCTTTCTTGGATGTGCGCCATCAGATGCCACGTGGCCATCTGCTCAGGCATCTACTCTTTCTTCATTTCTCCAACAGAAACCCCACTGCTTTCATTTGAGGGAGGTTTAGGGAGGGGATAAAGTTAGATGCTAGTGTTCGATCTGTAATCGCAACCTGGGAGTCTCGGAGTCAATTCCTCTGTCTGTCTTCCAGTTCTCCAACCTTCGAGAAGATAAGAAACACCAAGAGATGATGGGGCTCATTGAGAAGGACAACATTCTCCTCCGACAGGTGATGGCACTGTTAAAAAGTCAGCCAGGTCACTGTTACCGCTGTAAGTCCTCACACAGCAACGGGCCACATGAGGCTGGAGCCTCTTCTCGGCTGAGCTGGGCCACTTAATTTAGGTAGCATCTGCTTGACAGATCTGAGGGCTCTGTCCACACGGTAATTTGGGAATGCTATGAGTGCCTGTTCTCGAGTGAGGAGAGGTCCCTTCCTTCTTTCCGATGTTTATTGAAGTTCCACTTTATGCCAAGCACCATATGCCAAGCTAGGTGCTGGTGGTACCGAGGGAATCACACAGAGGGCTCCCTGTGATTGTTGGGTCTATACTTTACAGGAGGAGCCCAGGGAGCACAGCTGACCATCTCTGTGAGGGGAAAGCAGGTGGGGACCACACGTAATCAGTCTGGGGCAGACAGGCCTACTTCCCTATCTTCTGTGGCTCTCCCCAGCAAGTGTCAGAGCTGGAGAGCGAGCTCATGAAACGGGACCATGTCATCTTGGAGCTCGACACCAAGGTCAGCCAGGTACAAGCCCAGGTCGACCTGCACCAGAATCACTTGCAGAGGTGGAAGCAGCTGCAAGAGGACATGCAGAGGAAGAATGAGATGATCAGGCAGGAGGAGTTGCAGGCCCGAGTGGCTCTAGAGAGCTCTCAGTCCAGGGTAAGCACAGCTGCCTCCTCCCAAGGGTCCTGGCAGACAGAGCACCAGGGCCCCAGCTCACTGCACACTGAGGTAGACCAAGCCCTGAACAGGAAAGAACTTGGGCTCATTCTGCACCGTATCTCGGCACCTGTTTGGCATTCATGCTCAAGAAACGTTGATGGGGGAGGGAGCGAGGCTGCATGAGTGCACCCCAGAAACTTTAGTCAGTGAGAGTAGTAGAAGGGATCTCTGTGGGTGGGAACTGGCCTTTATAGAGGAAGTGGGTTTTGGGTTGTGCTGTGAAAGTGCAAAAAGATTTGGCTAGCCAGCCAGGAAGGAGAAAGGATGAATAATAATAATAATGCCTACCTGTTCAAAATTTACAGAGTACTCCTGAGAACCCAGACCTGCTTACAGGTGGTGCTGGGATTTGAAACCAGCAGTCTTCACTGTGGGGTGGTGGGTGTGTGTGTGGAATGGAGGGTGGGTATCTGAGCCATACTCATGAGAAAAAGCACAAGGGAAGGGAGAGGGGAAGGGAAAGGCCCAGGTGCAGCCTGCTTATGAAGGACTTGTGCCAAAAAGGAAATCCAGTAAAGAGCTAACCTTGATTTGGAATCCAAAGTTAAGCAAAGGCAAAGGTCACATGGATGTAGGCTTTTGAAATAACATTTTCCCACAGCCTCATCCAA